GTCTACTGATTCTAAATGAGGAAACAGTAAGGTACCTTCCTTAATCTCTAAAGAAACTTACTCATACCTTTCTTTGCGTAACATTTTAGATACTGTAACCGTTGGAAGGGAGAGTGGGTAAAATAGTATTAGACGGGCCAACTTAACCTTAACAGTTGTACAGAATGTAGATAAACTTTGGATAAGCGAATCAGGACTAGGGATGGGTTCGTGACCGAACCCATCCCTAATCAGGACATTAATAACTTTGAGTGAACTAAATGAACGAAATGACGCTATAAAGTAAAGGCATTGATATCAACACGTTATTGGGTTTGAATGATATGATTAGAGTGATGATGCTAAGGCTGATGATCTTAAAGACGTGATAACGATTTAGCGATATCTTAATCAGGGTGATGTTAAAATCCTACAAAATTTTTTCCACCCTGTAATTTTGACCAATCGAATTTTAAGATCAGGTGTAACATAAAAATTGAAACGGACCCACTTTTGACAAAAAAAAAAACAGGGAATAGCTCTAAATTTTTATTAGGAAACCATCTTCTGCGGCCTAATTAAAAATGTTTTTCGTCAAATTATAGTGATAGTTGTTATTTTTTCCAATTATAACTATAACTATAATGCAGTTTTCTTAGATTTAATTTTATACGCAATTTTTACCTAGAAAACAAACCGAGTTTGTTTTAAATTTTGATTGGTAAAAATTACAAGTGAAAAATATTTTGTGGGAACGCTACCTAAAATGATGAAAAAACTGTTTACAATCAAGTAAAATTTACATAAACGACAGATCCAGGACGTAGGTGAGATTTTCCGATTCATGTGCATTCTGACTCTCCGAAACTACCCCAAGAGCTCCAAAAATTAGCTAATTAGGTGTAACATGGAAATCAAAACAATCAAATAAATGTATCCAAAATTTGGCAAGGAATTTTTTTTATTAGAACGCAAAAGGCAGTTTCATAGACAAGATTTTGAACCACAAAAAATTTTCTAATTTCATGTTACACGTGATTTCGAAAGCCAATTTGCATGCAAAATTTCTAAAGGTGATCTATATATTGGCGATTAGGCCACGCAAAGTTACTATTTCGTTTTGCATAACATGAAATCAGAAAAATTGGTCGGTCGTCGGATTTTTTTTTTACAGCTGTTATCATTATTCCAGGGACACCTTATGAAAAATTAACCGAATAGTTATTCTGCCAATTCGATAAATTATTGATTTCAGCATGATTAATGTAATGTTTATTATTTGCGAAGATAGAATAAAGTCTGGTACGTACTAAGGTGCTAATCGATTTAAATTAAAACTCACGTGAAACTACAAGGCTTCAATGATCTCTACTTTTATGTCATAACTAAAGTTCCATTTCTAATCGTAATTCATACAATATCAGTTAGGTTTTCTTCTATTAAAGTTTTAAGATATTTATATTATTCAGGTTTAATAAACGCGATATTTTACAAGTAGTGGAAGTCTTTCAATGCATTCATACCTTTGAAATTAGTAAGTTTCAAAGTTAGCAAATGAGTGACGCATTTTGAAATTAATAAAAGTTTGAAAATTTTTAAAATCGGAAATTGAAATCTGAAGATCCTCATTTAATGAAATGAATAGACAAAAATCATCATTCCAAATTTATCAAAAAATGAAATGATTATTTATAAATAGAGATGGGCAAGATAATTACTTATTACGTAAAAAATCACAACTTGCTATGTTTGAAATCTCAAGTTCTATTAGGAAGTATGATCATGTATGTATCTTTATTAAGAACTGTGATTATGTTATATGAATGCGATAAGCATAATTAAGTTTATTGTTTAAACTAATCAAAAATGTTTAGAACTACAAACTGAACTTTAAATTGAAGAGATATATAATATTAACTAATACTAGTAGTTAGTGTGTACTATTATACGTATTTACAGTATAATACATATATAATAATAAAGGTTTGCATGTATAATAGTTTAAACCTAATAGTAATTTAGATTCATTATTAATAATCAAATTCAATTTAAGAATTATCAAGCTTTAATATATAGAAAAATTAAATAGTTTATATATTAAACTTATAATTTTACATTATTGCTATTGTTATAAAATAATTGAAATTATATCAATGTAATTATATTTTTATCAGTGTTGGCAGCAATAGATGAATAGAACAATAGAACAATAGAATAGAACAATAGAATTTAGAATAGAATAAAATTTTTGTCAATAGAACAAAAAATTGCCAACAAGATTATAATTAGATATTAATATAGCAAAAAATAAATGGAACAGTAGAATAGAACAATAGAAATTAAAGTAGAATATAATTTTTATCAATAGAACAAGAATTGACAACATTGTTCCTAAGCTAATTTTATTGTTGCATGAGCCTATTTTTTTGAAATCACTATTTTCAGAATGAAAAGGTTAAAAAGTTAATTTTGGCCAGAAATTAGGAAACAATTATGTAATGTGGGCCAAAATTTTGCAGATCTACAGCTGTTAGCCAATCAAAATTGAGGATCTGCTGAAACAATTTTGTTGGTAGTAAAAAAAGTACTTGATCATATATGGTGGTTTATTAAATTTTAGATTATTTAAATTGAGAAATCTGAAGCCTCAGCTTTCATAATTCAATGAATTTACTAAGTGTTAGTTTAGGGTGTGTTCTCTCGAGTTCATAAGGTTACAATTTACATAGTACATTCACTTATATACAATTGTGAAAATTTTAATGTACTTTATGTAAATATTAATTTAATTATTTAACTTTTAAAATAATAATGTTCTAGACATTTCACCTAAAAAGTTTTAAAAAATTTAATATAATATCTATAATATTATTCTTAGTTTATAGTTCATGTTATATTTTTGTTTATTTATTTACAATACAGTATTCCATTATTATATAATAAATGAAAACCTTATGTTCACACTTTTTAACACAAGTTCCATATCGATAGCAATGTCCAGAATTCAATATCTTATTTGTTTTTCTTATAAAAAATATATGGTATTATTTTAATAACAAAGATTCTTTCACTAAAATAAATACTATAAATGTTTTATATTCTTAGTCCTTTTTAATTTATGCAACTTTATTGCTTCGTACTCTTCCTTTTCATCCAAGTTGTCTGTATTATCAATTCATTAGCATAAGTTTTTTTATAAACTACAAATTTCCTAGCTTAATGTGAAATACACATCTAAACAAATATATAAAAAGTTGTATATGAAAAAAATTTACCAGTTTTTTGAAATTCTTTCTAAATTATTTTAGTAACTATCAAACATGACTTTTTTGTTTATCTTTTTTAGTTCTAGCATTCTTTTTGCCTCTTCTAATTTTTTCATCCTTTTCTTTTCTAGTATTGTTTTTCTATATACTCTAGAAAGCATTAAAAATTAATCTTTTAAATAATTTACAATTTATACTGTTGTCTAAATTATGATAGATACTTTGGAATAAATACAGGTTTTAATAGTTTTCTCAATGCTTGTTCTTTTGAATTAATCACATACTTTGATGTTTCTTTAGTTTTGTTTTCTTGTATATTATAAAGCATTAGAATAGAATACATTCAATAAAATAAATAACTATATATGCTAATTTATGACAAATAATGATAACATACCTTCTCTTCTGGCCACAGTTTTTTTAATTCTTTTATAACCCTTGGTTCTTTCTCTTGTTCTCATTCTTTTAATACATAATCTCATCTCCTATCGATTACTTCAAAATATCTAGCTTTCTTTACCATCTTTAATATTTTCACACTTCAAGCTTATACTTTCATGTGCTACTATTTTTTATTTTTTTTTATAAAATTTAGTTAGTAACTTAAATACAAATCTCAGCCATAAATCCTATAAATTTAAAATATATGTATGTCATACCTCAAATTAGAATTTGCCTGACATGGAAAAATGCATAATCATAGTATCTTGTATGATATATATTAACTGATTCCTGTAATAAAAACTTATATATTGTTCATACAATGCACCAGAAAATAAATCATTATATTTTAGTATTGTAATAAAATTTACTAAAAACTATCAAGCCATAGCAAATTTTAAAGTAATGAGTGTTGAGTAGAAGATCTTTTATTTAAAGGAAAATAAAATAAATAAAAATAACTAAAAATAAAGAATAAATATTTAAAAAACAGAAAACTCTCCCTAACGATCACTTGTACCAAATTTCACACCAACAAAAACGGAAAACTTATTGGAGAAAGCAGAAGAGGCTACTATATAAATAA